AAAAAAAAAAAAAAAAAAAAAAAAAAAAAAAAAAAAAAAAAACCAAGCCAAGCCATCAAGCCATTATACTGAATCAAACGTGAATTAAAAAAAAAAACTCAGTTGAGCTTATATATTTAAGTTTTTTTAAAAAAAATTAAATCGATCCAAATGGATATTCATATCGTAAAATATTGAATCAAACAAAAAATTATATGAAAATAAAGTTCGAAAAAATGACTATAGAATGGGGTCAGATTGAAAGGAAATATAAACAATCACGACTTTATGTTTGACAATAATGTAAATTTAATTTTGATATTTAAAATTTATCGATCATATATTTATCTGGCAGCACTTCAACATCTCCAACAAATTTTAAATCGCTTGAAACGAATATTTGTAACTTAAAATACTGAATCCAACGTAAGAAAAAAACAAAAAAAGGTCAAACCATTTAAGGTAGAAAAAAAAGGTAACCGGGCGAGCCGAGTCGAGATTAGAAGGAGCCGTGAAGCCACGACTTGTGAACATTATTTTCAAGTTTGAGTCTTTTAAATATAGTAGGATAAAATGATAAATCGATCCAAATAGATATTCATATCGTGAAATATTGAATCAAACGAAAAATTATATAAAAATAAAGTTCGAAAAAAGAACATTGGAATATAGTCGGGATTGAAAAAAATATAAACAATCACGACTTTACGTTTCACAATTAATGTAAATTTAATTTTGATATTTAAAATTTATCGATTATATATTTATCTGGCCGCACTTCAACATTTCTAACAAATTTTCAATCGGTTAAAACGAATATTGGTAAATTAAAATACTGAATCAAACGTAAGAAAAAAACAAAAAAAAGGTCAAGCCATTTAAGGTAGGAAAAAAAAAGGTAAACGGTCGAGCAGAGCCGAGCCGAGATTGGACGGAGCCGTGAAGCCACTGGCTTGTGAACAATATTTTCAAGTTTGAGTCTTTTAAATATAGTAGGATATTAAGGGGTAAATAGCGCGTAACGTCACCACTTTTTACTGTTATTGTAGAAAACGTCATTACATTTCATTTTTTGGCATTTTCACCCATTTTTCCACCATTTCATTGCGCAAAATGTCATTTTCATCCATTTTTTCAATTAAAAGGACGAATATACCTTCTCTTCAAA